CAACATCACGTGCGGAGTGCTAGCTGAAGTTTGCTGAGACTGCTGGACGAACAGCTACGGCTTGAGGAAAGTGTGATTTGGCTTGCTTCCTCCGCCAGGCTGAAATGTCACCGCGCCATAAAGTTCTGAAAACATAGTTGTGCGGTGGAGAAAATGGCACGCACTGAAATTCTCGTTCACTTTGCGAAATTTAGCAAATGCTGAGTTCTAACCTCGCAGTCGGTTAGTTGTTAAAAATAATTGGCTAATGAGAAAATATCACACTAAGGAGGTAGTTATAACTTCATGTTAGCCACATGGTGTGGTGTTGAAAAATGATTATACACTCCCGCATAAAGACCAGTTCCATTTCTTACAACTTACTTGCACCGTTGACAACATCAGAATAACGCTTTGCATGCTTGTAAAGGGAGCATTACTGCAACCTTATTCGAGAAATGTCGCAAACTCTTGAGCAGATACACATCCGAATGATTTACGCAAAATGCACTGCTCATGGCAGCAAAAACATTTAACGTCACATCATTTGCCACATAAAAGCAAGTACACATCTAAACAAAGACGTTCCGGCAAACATGCAAAGTGACGTTTTAAAACCTAGGAGATCAAAGTATGTAAAGTCACAAGACCTGTAAATCGTGAGGAATAAGGTAGTTAGCCTAACTCCTAGAAGACAACCTGAGAAAACCAGCTTATCATTCCTGTTCCCTCCAGTAGTAAATGTAATGATGGTCAGGTGCAATTGAGGAAAAACATTTGAGTTTATTGACAAGGTGCCATTGGTTTTTAGTCCGAAACTGATGGTCGACGTAATCAGGGCCAATGACAAATATCCCAAGCTGGACGAGGAAGGGAGGGGAGGAGATAGCCATTTTTGGTTATTTTTTCAGTCGACACCGGAGGGCCAATTTTTAATTTTCAGGGAGTTTGGGGCGGGGTAGCCGCTACTGCTCCCCTAGTTTCGGAAATCGTGTTGGAATTCATTTTAATCAGTCAGTTTTTATGTTGAAAATAACCGACTTTCAATATAACGGGAGGTACTTACCAACGCCTACTTGATGCTTCGTTTCCCCAGTTTCTCCTGGTGTGTCTACTGAAGGCCATTGGTTTTTAACTCAAGGTTTTGCAATTTCACGAAATGTGTTGGTGGGGGCTGTTCACGGGGAGTGCCGTGGCTAAGAGGAATATGCCAGGTATGCACGTGACCCAAAGAAAATAGGGCTTTCCAACTTAATTACTTCTTGTTCAGCGCTGCCATAAGCTCTTATTATCTGGATGCAAGCCGCACCAGATTGAATGTACTTCGACTGTCGTTCTTTTTTCAGCTACAACGCAGCTCAATTGTGATTTAGCCATATCTTATCTCACTTCCGTTTCCACGATCACCCTAAAACATAACAACCCTGCAAGCAGTCCATGATGTTTTCACTGGCTGACACTGGACGATTAAGGAGTGCGTTCAGCAGCCTGGATGTGATGCTGCTGAATGTGAACAGCTACTCACCATCGGGTGGGAATTGGCAGCAACCATCAATGAGGCATGCTTTTTGTTTTTTTTGTTTTTGTTCGGGCCGCTGTACCTACCTTGTCGGGCCTCCGACTCCCGCTCGCGAGAGGGTACTTGAGCGCACCTGTCATCCTGGCCGACGCTGGGTCCATCAAGGAAATAGGATCCAAGCATGTTATTTTCGAAATCAGTTGTATGTGGTCTTCTGAGAATATCAACATATTTTGTGTTTCACTGGCTTCTTCGGAAAAAATTTACACCCCTCTCTAATGGATGAAAACCATGCTGGTGCGGTGTTTGAACGATGAGACGGTCAACAGATGTATTCGGGTGAAGTTTGCTGTAGGACGTAATTTGACTAATGCCTCATTCTCCTATCTCCATTGCCCCACATCTTAAATGTTTCAATGGACAAATTCGACTGGCAGCCTTTTTAAAAGCACATTGGGTCAACTTCAAGCTTCTTTGGACTCCTTGGACTGCTCACTCAACAGCCAAGGATCCATTTGTCTAGGAGCCACATGGCGAGAAACTTAAGAAAACAGTTCGGTACCCAAACGTTTTAGAGCCGTCCTCTTCGCCATAGCGTCATGAATTGAATGTCATAGCATTTGCACCTTTTGAAATGGCATTCTATCTCTTTTACCAAGAAGAATGGGTCTGCGTGGGTCAGAAGGTCATCCGCGTTAGGGAGAGCACCATTATGACATGATGTGTCCCTTTAAGGGCCTCCGGATCGGCCAGGAGATCCCACCCCGTTTCGCCAGAATGGCAGCGGGAAGACACCCCGCGGTGGGACGGAATGGCCCTTCAACCCTTGACCGGGAACAACAATGTGCCATTGTTGTTCTGCTCAAGGGGGCCCATTCCCGAAAAGAAATAAGGGGTCTCATTAGTGTTGAAAAGAGTGGACCGAAATGAAGTAAAAAACGAACGAGGTCATTCTATCAGGCCGTTCTGGTTTCTTTGCCTGAGACCGTTTATTCTTTTGCAGAATCGACAAGTGAAGCAAATTTTTAAAGCATTTGAGTCTACGCTGCCGCAATCACGGAAGCAAGGACAACGATAGCCTGGGTTGTAGTTTCCGTATAACCGAGCGGCATTGGCTGCTGCAAATAACACCAGACGGCGGGTGTGTGCGCGCGGGGGCGATCGTCACGGAATAATACTTCCGAATGGTTTAAAGAATTAATTCGTACCTTTCAAAGATTAGGCTGGGCGTATATTTTTGCAGCTTGGTTGTCCTCTTGATAGATTAGCAGCTACTGCAACACGGAAAATAGAGATCTTACCTTTACTCCTCCAGTTCTACCAACAGATTCCAGCACCACTTTGTGGTGCTGTAAAGGCCAATCCGTTCAGTTGATCAATCTTAAAGTCACACAGATGAAACATACCTCCGACTACCTCCTCAATTTACGACGTCATATCCTAACACCTTCAAAAGCACTTTTGTCAAATGAGTCATCATTTTTGTACACCCGGCGGCCACGACTCCGTATTGATTGCAGGACCAACGCCACGCGGCCTACGGAGACTGCAACGCCTGGCGCCGAGACTTGCTGCAAAAATTTGCGAGCGCGCATGCTTAAAACCGCGCTACATGATTTGTATCATTAATCAATTGTGATTGAATGTGAAACATTTCCAGACAAACATGGCTTGGCCATGTTAACATTGATTGTTGACTAATTTTGATCTTCCTTTTCGGGTTCCTTAACACGCGCTCGGGTGGGGGTCAATTGAACCCCCTGAAGGTTTTTCAAGAATGGTTTCCAAACGGCGTGGCGTAGCCGCGCCAAATATTGCATAGCTGTCGAAAATTGAGTAGCAAATCGTTTGGTGTTAGCAATACAAATTTGTCTTGCAAGTTTGCTGGTCTATGGCAGGTCAAAGTCAGGCCATGGTTTCAACGAAGTCAATTTCTAGGGAATCGCTCAATCTGATGCAACAACGGAGTATTAGACAAAAGCATTCATCTCTGAGATGCATTCTTAAGCAACAAAGCAATTGAATAAGTAATTTACACTGACTTTAGGTCAGATATGGAGGTCACACCAAGGTCAAACCAACTTATTTTATTACCTCTGCGGCTTGCTGTATGGAATAGTTTCTGGTGCTCATTTCGAATTTATTGATACCAGGAATCGCATTCTTTATATTTCATGGACTTCTGAGAAGTCAGAACAGGTCATTGACCTAAAATGACCCAAGTCAACATTTCATTCGAGAAACATACTGCCTAGCGTAATCTTTTTCGGTTATTCAAACGCAAAAATCGGAGCAGTCTTGTATGACTTTGGCACCATGATCTTCAAAGATCAAACAAGGTCACTAACCTTCAATGAGCATGTGAACTTTTGTTTAGAAACAGTTACCTAGGTCCTGGGGGGCTTTGGAGACCATCCTGAAATTTGACTTTGTTTGACGTTATTTGACCCGAAGGGCATGACTTAGGAACCTCAAATTTTGACCTAAATAGGTTCACGTAAAGAGCTTCTGACTTGAGCTATTATGACTAAGCACTAAGAGAGCTGAGTTCCATTGGCTTAGAAAGAGTGAACTGGACCATTGTAAAACGAAGAGCGCTGCTAATCCATTTCATGCAATTGCTGAACGCATGATTTCCTGTTGTTGTAGCGCATGCTTTGAGTGGCTTGAAAAAAATGTACATTTGATCTCGCGGCAGCTTTTGGCTTCTTTTGCAGCTATACGAGGTGAAAATGAAAGCATGAAAAGTAAGCCTCATTAGCAAATGGATCATATCCGGCATTTTCTTGGGCGGAGCGGCTTTTTGTTATCAGCGGGCCGTTCGTCAACCCTGTACCCCTGCCTTGTCGAGGCTCTGGCTGCGCGCCCGTGCTGAAATATAGGGCCCAATGGTTTGGGGGCCCTTCGTTAAGTCTTTGCTCCGCCCCCCATCGCAAATTCGAATACGCCACCCCTGAGAGGGTGCCCCGTAGACCGAAACCGGGCCCTCCTAGTTTGTAACTGGAGCCACCCGAGCAAGCAAAGCGGCCTCCTTAACACATCACTGGGCCATCTGATCCAGGGCACTGGCGAACTCAAGACACAGAGAACGGGTTTGCTTGTGTAGCAGTGTCTTTTGCATAGCCCGATTTATTTCTTCATAGCTCAGTTGTGGGCACTCCCTTGATCTGAATTTTTGGATTCCTCGTGTGCAGTGAAATTCAACAACGGCCTTAGTTGGGAAAAAGGGCATCGAGGAATGAGGGGGGGGGGGGGCAAAAATATCCTGTTAGCCCCCATGCTATTTCCCTTGCTTCGCCGTCCCCGACTGAACTAAGATGCGAAACTGATGTACCCCGCGGACAGTTTCATCGCAGCGATAGCCTGAGATATTCGGCATGCCTCAAGATTTTTCATCGTTTTCTGTACTGTGTAGTTTTCATATCTACCATGCTGAAATGGATGCGCCCTCCGACCGCGTCGACATTGGTGGCGTTTATTCCAAAAAAAATCTTCATTGAAGGACGGAATTGTGGCAGCGATCTTTTCATGCTGATCGCGGCGGAGGTGGGCTGGCCGCTGGCAGGCCATTAAGCAAGCAAATACAGTGAGGTAGTACCTGCAGTTGGTTCCTTCAGGATGCGGTAAGGCAGACTCAGTCCCTTGAAAGAGCAATCAAGGTGGATCAGCAAACGCCCATTAAGACTTGTAGAACATTTTGAACGTTAGATTAGCTGTGATAAGATTCAGGTGGTGTACGAATGTGGCCCAACTTAACATTACTGGACTTAAGGCTAAGAACCCTGTGCGTATTGACCGGCGTCATTCAGATTCAATCACTGCACTGGGTGCTTTGTTGTCATAAATGTACTGAGCCTTGCACTGGTGTGCACCAAACTGGGGCCAACCAAATTAAGCCAAATTTTTGTCATCTTAATTTTTTTTAGTTTTGTTGCATGACCTAAACTGCAACATTACAATTCCTTGCAACATTGGTCTTATGCACTGAAATTGATGCAGGCTGCACAGAACCTTAAGTTTTGGATTTATGGCCTACCATGCTCTGGTTTCTGTTATATCATTGCTATGCTAGACATGTTTGGCAAAGCATGTATTTTTTGCTTTCTGATGCAGTTATATAGATGCAAGAGATGCTGTATTCAGGCAGATGCTGATAAATGTGCCTCTGCTGGATGTTGCTGCCAGTGTTTAAATGCTAGAAGTTAGTGTGGCATTGGCTGTGGAGGGAGCATCTTCCAATGTTGAAATGACAGAAGTAAGCCATTGTTGTCACATTGGATGACCACTATCACACACTAATGTCCATGCTATTGGTGGTTTAACATGGCACGCTTCTCTTTGTACAGTATTGATGTAAATGTGCCTAACAATCCTTTGGATTTAGAAGGGTAGCATTATATTTTATTGCTCACCTTGTCTTTTATCATGTCATCCCTGATTCTGGAGCTAGCTGCCTCATTCATTTGAACCAACATCTTATATGCCATCAGTTTTCTTGCTGTGGAAAATGCATCCATCATGATCAATTTAATTTTGGGCAGCACCAAAACCAGCTAGTATATAGGTACTTAGTTGTTTGGGAGTGCTCAGGCTATTTTATTTGTGCCCTTGGTTTCTACCAGTGGTTAACTTGGTGGTTGTGTTAGGTGCTAGTGCGGAACTTGAATGGGAGAAAACCAGGTATTGGTGGTATTTGATGCCTACTTAGCAAACATTACTCATTGATATGCACCATTCATTATGGATGAACATGAACCATTTAAGTGTTAGTAATATATAAATAATTAAAGCATCAAACCATCCATCCTGGCCAGGCATGCTGTGCACAACAAAGAGTTTGGTGGAATACATTTTAGACCCTTTTGTGGTCTAACCATAAAGTATGGCTGAAATTTGAATTGGTGCATGTAAGTAAACCAACATCTCATGCTGAATGTCAAAATGATACAGGCAAAAAATTGGCTGATCCTCTAGTAAGACTGAAAGGGGGTTTTGTGGGAGGACTTAATCTCTATGTTGCCTTGTATGTGATGTGTTGCCTGAAATTTTGCAACTTTCTGTTGTCTTGGGTCCTGAGAAAATTTGGTCTCCACAGATGTGTATCAGACAAAAATCATAAAGTTTCTGCTCAATCTGCATTACAACAAATATTGCCTACAGGAGTGATGACCATAATCCTGTTTAGTGTTTGTACTTACCTTACCATGCATTATGGTGAGCAGGAATTATGAAAAGCTACCAGGCCTGTCAGTCTCAGTCTCATCAGTCTCCTGGTCTGGTAACCAAACAGTCAAATTATGGATAGATTCAGGTATGTAATGCCATGCATGATATCAGCTGAGTGCCTGTCAGGCCTGATTTTGAACTGTTTAACAAAGGTTAGTGATGCAACCAGGTGTGGAAGAGCATTTGTATCATTGATGACCAGTACAGCCCAGATAAATTATTATGAGACGCTGAATGAGCCACGCTCAATGAGAAACAACGCCACACCAGAAGACGCCATGCTGAATGAGAAACAACAGACAGAGGTTTTTGTAGCTTCCATTGGTGCCCTCTTGTTACTTCTGAGCTGTGTCTTGTCAGAAATTCCCCTTCTGACAGGAGCATACCCCTGTGAAAAAGCTGATACTCTGTAACCATGCCTCGCTGTGATGACAGTAGTCCAGTGAGTGGGACTGGAGGAGCCTGAGCCTCTCAGGGCCAGTGCCTCACTTCGTGGGCAAAGCAGGCAGCTCATCGCTGAACCCGCTTCAGCCTCTTATGATCCGGTCTGCAGAACAGACCCCAGATGGTGTTGCCATACTCAAAGTACAGGCATTCTAAGATCTTGAGGAGTAGTGGCAGCATGTGAACATCAATGTTGGCAAACAATCGCCTCAGAACTGGTGGCATCTCATTGGCCTTCGAGATCGCCTCCGCCATCTGCATGTGGAACGTGGGCATTTGATCCACAAAGATTCGGAGGTCCCTTTCAATGGGCTCGACCATGATTCGTTTTTGGCACCAAGAGAAGAGAGTGCGGTACTGTTAGCATGTGTTAATGCATGAAAATATATCACCATTGAAGGATTAAGTTGGGATGCAAATTTTGTGACAACACCAAGTTGACTGGGAAGTTTTAGTCCTATAGACTAGAGCTGGAAAATTTTGCTCTCAATCCCCAATATGTAAAGCTGAGTTGAAAACACTGATATTGTTTGTGTTGAAGTTTTCCTGAGATAAAGGTTGTCTCTGCCAGCCCTTTACCCTCCTCCCTCCCTCTTCTTTATACATCACTCCAACAAGCAATTAAGTTCTTTGAAAATATTGATAGCAAGTTGTATTACTGTCATATATGTATTTCCTGAGCATTTCTGACCACAAAACTAGAACAGTGATTGTTAAGTGAAATTAAGTGAGCTGGTAATCACTAGCCTTTGTTTTTTCCAGGATATGTATGATAAATAAAAATTATTAAGGCAAACTACAGCCTAGTAAGTTGTATTGTGTGTAGGACCAATCATTAACTTATGGTACATCACACTCCTACTTTTGCTACAAGAAAAATCATCTTTGATATACTCCTGATATCTGGTATGGAATGCTACATTTGACAACATGTAATTTTGGTTCTGTCATCTTTGTGTTTTGCCATTGTCAAAAATTGCGTGCTCAAAAGAAACCCTGGGTTAAACCTTAGCTTGAAAGCAATGAGGCTCAGGCCATGTTGTATTGAGACCTCATATTGATACTGTATATTCATGTACATTTCTCAGTGTTCTTAGTGGGCCACTTAAGTGCAAAACTCCATTCAGAGGTGAAACTGTAGGTTGATTTACACAAGGGCCAAATAAGTCACAAGACACAAGAGGGTTAAATTAGTCCCAAATGTAAAATCATTGCCCAACAGACTCCTGGAAGGGACCATTCATGTAATTTTGTCAGTTAGGGTTCATCTCTAATTGTGTGCAGCCCATTGACTGTCCTATCATTTAAGAATAGCACTAAAATTATCTCACTAACAAGTTTTTCAGATATCTTTCAGAATGCGCCATTTGTGAAAAGTACTTGAATTCTGTAACACCTCATGCAAATAATAAGTATCTCTACATGATATTCTTATAGCCTCCCCTGATATGTACTTGAAAATATTGTGCGGTTACTGATTTTTGTGTTTACAGAATGTCCACAATTCACTTGAAGTGAAAGCAACTGGGTTTTAGCAGCTGGCAGTAACAACACTGAAAAGCTGGAACGTTCGTCATATCTAGATAACTTACTGGAAACCTTGGTGAGTTGAGTGTGCGGATGTTTCATTTTCATGCTGAACATTGGGTAAATTATTTTCTGTTCTTGTTGAGTGCAACATTTGATCTTGTCAACATGAGACAAATTCCAGATGTGTGGTGGCCAGCAGGCTTTTCATATCTCATCTATAGAATTAGACAGAGTGGTGAAACGGTGTCTCACAACGCCTATGACCACCAAGTTTTATGGTTTTCATCCACCGGTTGTTCTCATGGTCATCTACGACACCAGCTACGTCAGGGCGTAAAGCAATGTACACTGCAGCCATGCAAATTCCCCAGACCCGAAACCACACTAAGCGCTGTGGCCAGTGACGGGGGGTTCGGGTGTTTCCTCAGAGCCTGCAAGATCAGGGTCAGGAGGTCATGCCGCGGGGCAGGAAGCGGTCCGAGGAGCAGCCAGACGGTCACGTGCGGCCGGTCGCCAAACGCCACCGCAACGGACAGCACGTCCAGCCCAGGTGGGCGTGATTCCCGCTGGCATGAATCGGCTATAGCGACGTTTCCTCGTTCTTTTTTCTTTGGGTTCGTTGCGCGTGTCGCGCATCGTTCTATGGAGCGCTAGTGATGGCGTCAGCGTTATTAGCGTCGAAATGTCGTTGTGCAACTAAGTATTGAGCCCATACCCGCGCGTGGGCAGCGTACCACGGGATGTTTGCGCCACCCCTGACGAAGACAGGAGCGCCAGGTCAGTGGATCAGCATCGCCCGGTTATCTGGTCAATAGGACCAGGCCAGGTGGCACCCCAGGCCAAACAGGCCTCGCCCTGGGCAGATGGACCCCGCCGCTGTGCAAACTGCTGTGTTGTCGGAGGTACGGCAGAACTGTACAGCGAATGGCGCCGTCCCTGTAGCCAATTTGCTAGAGTGTCGGACACTGATCCCTGACCAAGGTGTAGCGGATATGTCAGTGCACGTCACAGAAGCCACGGCAATGGAACCGCGCCGGTGTGGCTCTCCTTTGACAGTCATTTTGTGACTGGCTGGAGGAGTCTGGACGAAACAGGCGCTGTCGTATCACCGCGTTGCGTGACACGCTAAAATCTGGTGGCGAGAGCTGCTCTTCGAGCCGTGAAATGTATGGGGTTTGAGGTTGTTAAGTAGTTATTAGGTTTATGGGTGCATTAAGTGCATCGCTTGTTAGTGCCAAATTGAGATTGACGGCGCAAAAAAGTTACTGGAAGAAGGAAAAAGTTACCAAATATAAGGAAGATTCAATGTCGCCAGGAGAGGGTTGTGATAGTCAACAGTTAATCATCCCCATAAACACAGATTGACGGAAAGATTGACAGATCCAATTATGCTTTTATCACTTCGACTCGAGGCGCTACAACGCTGTGACGTGAAGTCAGCACCGCGATAAGCGCGCTTCTCGGAGGCCGTACCAGCATTGTGTAAGGTCGAAGTTAAAGAGTCCGCGCAAAAGTCATTTGAGCTGCATAGGTAAGCGGATGTAGCACGGATGTAGCATACCAGCAGTCAACCGTAGAGCGGACGATATTGAGTCTTCCGAACTGATACCGAATGCAAAACGTTTTGACCTTCGCTGGGAACAAGAGGTCATACCGACTACAGCGACGTGGAACCCTGATCATTGCGACCACCAACCATCCAAAGTGCTTACGTGTTTCCCAATGTTGTGGCGGCAACTGCTAAAACTGTATCATGGCCGATTCAGCGATTTCGCTGGTTGAAAATATCAAGCTAGGACAGACCATGCCAAGCCAATTTTCGGGTCATGTTGGTTGCGAATTGGAATTGGAAATTGGACGCTGATAAGTGCACTTCTGCCTGCGAAATCGAGGAGAGAGGAATATAACAGAGCAGTTATAGTCCTAGTCACATGGATGCTTGTAATGACGGCGCCCGTCCCACATTGCAAAAGGCGTTGTATTGATATTTTGCACTCAATTTCGATTTCACTTAATACTTTTTGGCTGGATTTCAAGCCCGCCTTGCAGTCCCACCGCGTGCGATATCCAACGGTCTCCCATGATTGTGTGGCCGGCGGTAAGACTGGGGGGCAAGGTGTACCCCAGAAGGATTGCTGCGCTCTGATTGGCCGTCATGCTGACCGGTGTTGATAGTCCAGGCACATATGCTCGGCACTCTATTAGCTTTATTGGAAAACACAATGCCATTCCACAATGCCACACTGGGCGCCAGATGGCCGCTGTCCTTAACGCGCCGTAAAACACCAGGGCACAACAAATAGCTCCACAGTACCACTCGATACCCCTCCGTACCTGAAATGGTACAGTGATACCGTCACGGTCCCTGTGTCGATATGTTTTCAAGACACCGTAGACCTTACCGTATCATGTAAAGCTGTCCCCAGTGTGTTTTGGGGATGACTACTGTGCGCCGATTCCGTCCCGTCCCCAGTCTGCCTGCCATGATGTGGGTGGAGGTTGGTATGGGCGGATCGACCCGTCTGTAAACAACGCGCCAAGCAGTCCACAGGGGCGCGTTGAGTGGAGGCCACCGGCTTATGCGAGAAGGCAGTTCCAAGCGGTCGGTGTCGGCGTGGTAAGGTCAGGCGCTATCGGAAAGTAAATGGACCAGGTGGACAACGTGCAAAGGTCACGGCTGATAGCGGGCTTAATATACACGTTTCCATTCGGTGGGTCGGCTGCAACTGTGTGCTACTGGGTCTGTGGAGCTGGGGGCAGCCGGCGTGCCGTGCACGGGGACGTAGAGTGTCTCCGCTTCGCACCACACCGGGTCCCAGGGAACTCACCGCAGCACCTGGTCCCGGACCGAGTGTTGAGTTGCTGTCGCGGCCGCCGACGATCGACGGCTTACGCGATGCGTTTCGGACAAGTCTGAGGGCGGGTGACGAGCGGCTAGAATATAGCCGCCACTGGGCTTTGCCTGCAGTTCTTGTAGATGAATGTCGTCACACGACGCGCGGTTATGAATTCGTACCGACGCGTGACGAGCTTCCGCATTATTGTAGCTGTCCGCTATGTTTGTGCATCTTTCACGTCCGATGCTACTCAGAAACCAGAGCCCAAAAGATATTGCTTTCTGTGAGAAGCCTAGCAACGCCTCTCCTTGGGCGTATATGGCCTGGATTGGATCTGGGTGGGCGGATATAGCGGATGCGATCCGGATGCGATTGGTGGGATCTGACGTGACCTACAGCATTCCACCATGGACAACAGAAACATTGCAGATGCGTAACTAGACAAACAACCAAACACGCCAAACCGTTTATCGTCGGGCGCGTTGGAGCCGGTCCGCCGTTCCGTCGCGACAGCGGCACGTCACTCCCAGCGAGCGGGGCGAGTGGCGGCCACAGCGGCGTGGCCCGCTCGTGTGGCGAGCTTTGGCGCGTGGCGTGGCCGGCGCCGGGGCAGGTGCCAGGAGCCGCTGCCAGGCCGCCGGCCGTCGACCGAGCGGCCGACCGGCCGACCAGTGCCCCCGTCCGCCGCCGCCGCCGCCGCCGCGACGCGGCCGGCCCCGTCCAATTGGCTGCTCATCAATTCGTGAGCATGCCGGCGTGATCACGAGTGGTGCGGTATGGAGGCGGCCGCCGGCCAGAGGTGAGTCGACGACGCCGCGTGGGCCGCTAACGCCGCCAGCCGCGCCGCTGCGCCGCCGTATTTTTGGCGGCTACGGACCGGGCGGGCCGTGCACGGCGGCGCCAGCAGCCCCGATTACATCGTGAGAGCCCCGTTACATCGTAAAGAGGCTCCAGTCGCTGCTTGGGGCGTGACGTTCAGCGGCGGATGCTGGGCGTGTGGACAGCCGTGCGACTCTGTGATATTTTTCATCACGTGGCTCCAGTGGGAGTACCATGTTTCGAAATAATGGTGATTGAAAAGAAAGCCGTCAACGTGGTGTGTTGCCGACACTCACCGGTAAATTGTGTTCATAAGGATGCAGTGAGCATTCTGTCCACTCAGCAGGTCCCATATGTACTGGCTTATCCTGTACTCTTCCTCATGAACTCGTCATTGTTAACCCTGAGCAACGGTGCTTGAAAAGCTGACGATGGGTCGATTCGGGCCGACGTGAGTCGCCATATTGTGGGCCCGTTGACGGAGAGCAGCCGCGGACGCAGGCCATGGCGATCAAATAAAGGTATGAGGCATACTCGTGTCTGCCTCCTTTATCAGGGCTGCGTGCCACGAGCTGTTCTTGTGAAACCCGGCCGGAAACTGCTAAGTTTCTGCAGCGTCACCATTTTCTCTCAAGTTTTCGACAGCCCTTTTTCTATGTGTTGAATAGCGAGGCGCTGTGTTTGTAAGCTGCCGAAGGCGCGCGTGACTTCTGTTTGTTTAATCGGTCCATTGTTTTTAGTGGGTGACGGGTTCCAAAGCTGGCATGCTGCCTGAGCCTGCAGTCTTGTTATGCCATGAAATGGTGAGCCAGCGCGACGTTGTGTGGCGGCACCTACTCATGTCGCATACCTGTCCCAGTTCTATCCCGGTCCCCGCTCTATCCTGATCCCAGTTCGTCGGGTGTGACCCCATCGGTCATAGGTCACGGAGGGCGCGTGTGATCACCGCAACCAGGCTTCTGCACGAGGTGCCCGCTACATGGATTTGACTGAGTGTCGACGATTCGGGCCTCGGGACGTATGGAGTACATATTGCATCATTTGGCGCTGGCGAGCGAGATTTGGACGGGCTAAGTGACCATTACAAAGCTGCGACCGCGGCAGCTTAAACGGGACCATTGAGCAAATGACTACGTACAGTGTCTTATTTAGTTAAGAGAGACCGTGCGATGTGAACAGCACCCCAGTGCAAATGCTCTCACCAAGTATATATATATATATATATATATATATATATATATATATATATATATATATATATACGTAAAGATTGTATTCAGAATCCTTCATAATATGGATTTTCCGTCATCCACGTCATATGTATCGTACACGAAAGTAAACACACGTTCATTACACACGGTTGTAAAAAACAACGCAACAGATTCATCTCGACTACAGGCAAGCGTCTAGGTTGTACTTGAAGGCCACGGCGCTTAGTCGATGACAGGGCAGGCAAACGTCTGATTGCAGTGAATTTCACGCGCGAGTCGCTGGGGAGAATTGGTCATCACGCGAACGCTGCGCACACTAGCGGGTACTGCCACAATCCGTCAGCTGTGACCCAAGTGACACACGAGGACACCGAGGCACCACCGACCACCCGTTTGTGCAACGCTTGGGCGCATATTTCTTAAATACAGTATCTGTCGGTGTATCTAACTACGCTAAATACTATACTTTGCCATTGAATGTCAAACTGGCGCACTATTTAGTTACGTCACGTGTGTGGAATGCTTGATTGGCCGGTGGCCGGTGACGCTGTTCCTCGCATGGAACGGGCGTTTTCGCTTTTCGCTGAACGGAAAGGCTCCAACTCCACCATCTTGAAACTGTTATATTGTGTTGTTCAGTCATGATTTCCTCGGTTTTAAGCACCTGTTTTGGGTGTTTCCAC